TTGTGGATATTGAACCATCCTTTTATCCTTAGAATAAGTCTCATTTGATCATGATGTCCATGATTCTTTTAAAGCATTATTGAATTTGGTTTGCTAATATTTTGTGTAGGGTTTTTATATCAATGTTCATCAAGAATATTGGCCTGTAATTAATTTTTTTTTTTTTTTTTTTTTTTTTTTTTTTTTTTTTTTTTTTTGGTATTGGTTTTGGTATTAAGGCAATTCTGGCCTCATAGAATGAGTTTGGAAGCATTAAGTCTTCTTCAATTTTTTGGAATATTTTGAGAAGAACAGATATTAACTCTTCTTCAAAGGTTTTGTAGAATTCACCTATGAAGTCATTGTCTAGTCCTAGCCTTTTGTTTGCTAGGCGTTTTTGGATTACTGTTTCAATTTCATTACTCACAATTCGTTCACATTTTCTATTTTTTCTTGATGCAGCCTTGGAAGGCTGTATGTTTTAGGAATTTATCCACTTCTTCTAGGTTCTCCTATTTGCTGGCATGTAAATGCTTGTAGTTGTCTCTTATGATCCTTTTTATTTCTGTGGTATTGACTGTAACTTCTCTTTCATTTGATTTTATTTATTTGGGCCCTCTATTTTTCTTGATGAGTCTGGATAAAGTTTTATCAATTTTGTTATCTTTTCAAAGAACCAGGTACCCCCCATTATTTCTCTAAATAGAGTTTCTGTCCCTTTCTCTCTCTCTTCTCCTTCTGGGACCCCTATAATGTGAATGTCCGTATGCTTAATGTCCCAGTGGTCCCTTAAACTACGCTCATTTTTTTTAGAGGCTTCTGGGTGGCTGAGTGGATTGGGCGTTCGACTTCGGCCAGGTCATGATCTCATGGTTTGTGGGTTCGAGCCCCGCATCAGGCCTGTGCTGACAGCTCAGGGCCTGGAGCCTGCTTTGAATTCTGTGTCTCCCTCTCTCTCTGTCCCTTCCCTACTCACACTCTGTCTCTCTCTGTCTCTCAAAAATAAATAAGCATTGGAAAAAAGTTTTTTTAATAAATTAAATTATTAAATTAAATTAAAATTAAATTAAATTATTAAATAAAAATTTTTAATAAATAAACTATGTTCATTTTTTTTAAATTCTTTTTTCTTTTTGCTGTTCTGATGGGGAGATTTACACTACCTGTCTTCCAGATTGCTGATCTGTTCTTCTGCGTCATCTAATCTGCTGATTCCCTCTAGTGTATTTCTCATTTCAGTTATTTTATCCTTCAGCTGATGGGTTCTTTTTGTATTTTCTATCTCCTTATTGAAGTTTTCACTGTGTTCATCCATTCTTCTCCTGAATTTGGAGAACATTACTTTAAATTCTCTATCAAGCAGATTGCTTATCTGTTTTGTTTAGTTCTTTTTCTGAAGTTTTGTCTTGTTCTTTCATTTGGAATATATTCTTCTGTCTCCTCATTTTGCCTAAGTCTCTGTTTGCTTCTATGTATTAGGCAGATCAGTTACATCTCCTGATCTTGAAGGAGTGGTTTTATGCAGAAGGTGTCCTGTGGGCCCAGTAGCGCAAACACCCTCGTCACCCCGGTCAGGTGCCCCAAGAGCATTCCCTGTGTGGGCTGTGTGCACCTTCTTGTTGTGGCCAGGTTGCAACTGGTGCAAACTCACAGGTGTATGGGGCTATCCTCCAGCATGACTGTCTGTGAGTTCTGGCTGTGACTGCTATGGTCATACTGGTTAGTGGGGCTAGCCCCTGGCCCATCTGGCTGAGAGGCCTGATTGTGACTGTTGTGAATATGCTGGTGTGTGGGGTTGGTCCCTGGCATGGCTGGCTGTGAGGCCTGGCAATGACAGCTGTGAGTGCACTGGTGGGTGGGGCATGTCTCCTGCCTGGCTTGCTGCAGGGTCCAGCTGTGACTGCTGTAGGTGTTCTAGCGTGTGGGGATGACCTCCTTGGGCAGAGGTGCCGAGGAGGGGTTCTGGTCCCAGCTGGGGTTGCCTACTGCAAGTGCTGGGGTTGGAGGCTGCTTGGCAGGAGCTCTAATGTGAGCTAAAGTACCTGCCAGGAATGCCAGGGTGCAGAAACACTTGAGAAGGTCTTTAGGCTGGGAGGTGTCTTGGGTGGGACAAGTCTTCAGGGGAGCACTGGGGTGGGGTGAGTGGCACTAGCATAGTAAAGAGTGCCAGAACTGATATCCACTAATGCTGGGCCAACTAGGTAGGAGTAAGAAAAATGGTACCCATCAGTGCATCTGTCCCTGGAGGACATTCCCACAGATACCTGCCATTCTGGCACATCCCCTAAAATTAGTGAATTTCCTTCACATGTAACCCAGGGATTTTTCACATGGTTGCCTCTGTGTTGGCACTCAGAGCAGGTGTGATTGTGCACATGCCATCAAAGAGCAGTGTGTCAGTTTCCTACTGCCCTCTGACTCTCTTGGACATATGCCCTGTTGGTTTTCAAAGCCAGACGTTAGGGGAGCTTGTCTTCCTGGTGCAGGTCCCCTGGCATATGGAGATTCATGTGGGACTCAGGCCTCTTCTTCCTCAGGGCAGGTCTCTCTGGTTGTAATATCCCTCCCACTTGTGGGTTGCTGCACTGGGGATGTGGAACCTGACTAAATAAACCATGTCTCTGCTCCTCCTACCTGGCACCTTAATGTGTCTTTTTCTTTATATCCTTAGTTGTATGTTCTGTTGTTAGTCTTTAGTTCATTCTCAGAGATCATTTTCTACGCGTAGTTGTAGAATTTTTTTTTGTACAATCTTTACTCCCCACCCAAGGGGTAGGTGCACTGTTCCTTAAGGTACTCCAATACCAGGTCAATGCGTGAAGTGGATGGAGCAAGCTCCTATTCCATCTCCTAGTTCCAAAAAATCCATTTAATATACTGTATTGTCCTCACATTGAGGGTGTAGCAGATATTAAACTGTTAAGGACAGCTGCTACACTTGATCTTAGCCAAAAGGCCGAGAAGTGATGTAGTTGTAGATTTGGATGTGTGTGTGGGAGGAGGTAAGCTCAAGATGTTCCTACTCTGTGATTTTTTTCATCTGGAATTCATTTTTCCTAATGTTGCGAGGCTTGGGTCTAACTTAAAAATTTTTCCAGGTGGATAATCTGATTTTCCTAACACAAATGTAAATGGTGGAAATACAAACTAGTTCACAACTTCTATAGGAGGTGATCTGGCAGCACGAGTCAAAATTACAAATTCACAAACCATTTGATCAGCAATTTTACTTCTACGACTCATCTATGTATATCCTTGCATGTATGCAAAATGATACATATATAAAGTTATCCATGAAGTGAGTAGCTGTAAAACAAGATTAGAAATAATTTTAAAGTCCACCAAGAGGAAATTTACTAAATGAATCATTGTGTAAGCATGCAAATGAAACTATATACCTGCTTTAAAGAAATTAGGAACTATCAAATTGGTAAAGAAGAAACAGCAAAGTGCAGAATAATGTATAAAGGTGGTATCATATGTGTCAAGAAAGGATAAAACAAAGAATATATATATCTTACTGGATGGACATAAATTATCTCTGGAAGGATACATAAAAAACTGGAAACACTGATTACTTTCAAAGACAGAACTAGATAGCTCAAGGACAAATGGTGAGGATATTTTTCACTATATACTCCTTTGTAGCATATGCTTATTCTAAAAAGATTAAGGCCCAATTTAGGTTATCACCTCTAAAACAAAAATAATGGTAGTTTATTAAAAGAAAAAATATTTTAAATATAAATAACCTGGGTACTGGGTTTACAGGTATTTGTTATGCTATTAGTATTTTTCAGTTAAAAAAAATAATTGAATATTCATAAGGTACTAACAAGCGGCAGAATTATGGGTATTTAAATTTTTCTTTTCAATATTTTCTATTTTTCCTATAATGAACAGAAACTATCTCTGTAATAAGAAAACAAGATTTGGGGCACCTGGATGGCTCAGTCGGTTGAGCATCCGACTTCGGCTCAGGTCATGATCTCACAGTTCGTGGGTTTGAGCCCCGCATCAGGCTCTGTGCTGACTGCTTGCTCAGAGCCTGGAGCCCACTTCAGATTCTGTGTCTCCTTCTCTCTCTGCCCCTCCCCTGCTCACGCTTTGTCTCACTCTGTTTCTCAAAAATAAATAAATGTAAAAAAATAAAAAAAAAATAAGATTTATATTGTATGTTTGTTTTGAGAAAATAAGGTTTTTAAATATAAAAACCACTGTGTGGCAATAATGAATGTTCAATGCTTTCTACAGAACATATAAGATGTTAACTATTAGGATAAAAATAGAAAGAGCTACAGACTGGAGAATTTAAAAACAATATTGGTAAAAAAAAAAAATGGAAGAATCTTCCCCTATTACTATCTCCCAGTTCATGTGACCCTCATACAAACAGCTTTGATCGAGTGACTGTTTCCAGATAATTCTTGGAAATTATTCAAGTGTAAGTTAATTGAAGTTATTTTAAGGGGATACAATGAAGTTCTGCAGTCAGATGCTCTACCCCTGAGCTATACCCCCTAAAATGAAGTTCTGAAGACATATCAGTTCACATTAACATTTATCAGTTCTCAACAGAGAGTGCTTTTTAAGAGTAGACAATGCCATCAGTTAAACGCATGGGATGTGTTAGGAGGGTCAAGTTGCAAAAGTCTGCGAATCATTCTTGTCATCAAGCCTGCATTTATTTGCATGGGTGAAAAGATGAAATTTCTCAAAATAATATTCCAGTAAATAAGGTGAACTAAGTTTTCATGGTGATATATCAACTATTTAGGCAATTGATAATCATGATCAAGTTTTCTGACATTGTTTTGCTTTGTTTTAAAGAGAAAGAGGACAGGATGGTGGGGTGAGAGAATCATCAGCAGACTCCATGCTGACTATGAAGCCTGACATGGGGCTTGATCTCATGCCTCTGGGATTATGACCTGATCCAAAGTCAAGAGTCAGATGCTCGCCTGACTGAGCCACCCAAGCACCCCTCTTATGTTCTTATGCCAAGTAATGTGCAAAAATACCTTTTCTTGAGAGGAACTTGCAGGTGCTCAAAGTACAAGTGGCCCAGGGAGTTTATGCTCATCACAACCTCTTCTTCAGACACTAAATCTACCTTAAATGGGTTTGCTGTGATATGACACTTCAGATCTCCTTTTCCATCAGCCAATACCAGACTACCTGCATCCCCTGAGGATGAAATCAGCCTAGAAAACAAAGCAAGAAGAGAGAAATAGGTTTACATAGCTCAATGTGATTCTCAATTCAAATTAATGTGCAAATCCATATTCATGGGACATAGGGGTTTGGTGTCAGAAAGCCTAGACTGAATATAGCTCTATCATGCACCAGGAGTATAACTTTGGACAAGTTAGTCAGTCTATCCAGTTCTTAGTTTCCTCATCTGTAAAGTAGAAATAATAAAAGCAAGAACAAATAGAGCTTTTGGGGAGAACTGAGTGGGATGATGCATGCAAAGTACTTAAGTACTTGGCAGTGCCTGGCAAATAATAATATGTTAGCTATCATCATCATTTCCTTGGGCTGGACAGTCTAGGAACACTTTGGTGCACAGAGTCTAAACACTGCTTTTCTTTTTCATTACAACCAAATACTCAAAAACTAAGGAAATAACATAGATTGGGTTATTGACCCGGTGGGTTCATGGTGAGATGTAATCTCTCCTGACTCCCATCAGCTCTGATTTGAGAGCTAGACTGTTAGGATATTCCGGATCCCCAGAAATCATGTAAGCCCAGAGGCAGTCACTTAAAATCCTTCAGAGGTCTAGATATTTCTTTCTCTGGTGCACAGTCACTCTGGTAAATGGTCACATGCCTCCTTAGGGAAGGTGAGGAGGGATATTTTATGTTCTTATTATATTCTTGCAAAGTCCTTCTCCCTGGATTCTAGGCAAGATACTTGGGTTCTGTTAACTGTCTGGAGTAGTATGAGAGTTGTATATCACTGTTCATCAAACCCAAATGCAGGGGCTCCTGGGTGGCTCAGTCGGTTGAGCATCTGACTCTTGATCTTGGCTCAGGTCAGGATCTCATGGTTCGTGGGTTCGAGCCCTGTGTCAGGCTCTATGCTGGCAGTGCAGAGCCTGCTTGGGGTTCTGTCTCTCCCTCTGTCTGCCCCTTCCCCACTTGTACTCCCTTTCACTCTAAATAAATAAATAGCAAAATGGAATTCTTTTGATTGTTCCATCAAATAGGACTTTAATGCATCTATTTCAGTCCAGTGGACCCTTTGATACATTGCTCACTGCCCTGAGAGTTAAACATTTTGGGTACCATACATGCCCTGCTGCGCATTATGGAAACATGTTCACCTTGTCACTAATAACTAAATGCTGCTACTTTCATTATGCACCTGGAGTCTCACCATCTCCACTGAAATCGGGGAGCCCATTTTGATGGCATCATTTTCCACCATTATTTCTAGCTCTTAAAAGACATTCACTCACTACAATGCTTTCCAAGTGTTCCTTCATCAAGTTATTTCTCAGTGAAAGGAGTCTCTTTGGAACCCCTTGGAGAGCAAAATTAGGGGCTAGTTGTGCTGTTGCATATGACATATCCACTTCAACATCTTTATTTCCCTAAGTCTATGGATCATCTTTTCTACTCTGTGCCAAGGCTGAGCTGGTATCTCAGCTTCATTCAGCAGAGTCCATAGCTGAGTACAGATTATAATTAACCAACCAAGCAAATAATTAGACTCACTCCCAGCTGTCCAAGCTAGCACATCAAATTTAGATTCTTCGGTACCCATGTCAATAAATTTAATGTGGTCCTAAAATTATGTTCCTTTCTTTAGGAATCCCTCAGAATGCATTTCTATCTGTATTTCCTAGGTTTTTGCCTATATAAAATCTTATAATTCCTTAGGTGTAGTGTTTGACTGTAATTAGCTCCCTAGGCATGTTGGGCTCTGGTAGTGAGCTTAAAGGAAGGCAGTGAAGGGTGGTAGGGGTGAGGCACAATGAGCACTGTCATCCCCTTGGACAATATATCTTAGGTGAGGTCAACACAGGGTGTCCAAGCAAGGTAGGATCAGCTTTGTTAGAGGAAAAGGAGCTACTTCTGCTGGAATGGAAGGCTTGGTGGAATTCTGTTGATCACAGGTAGTAATTTAAGTAACTTTGCCATGGAATGCTGTGGTTTATTACCAGTTGTGTAGTTTGCTAGGTCTGCCACAACAAATACCCCATTGGGTGGCTTAAAGTACAGAAGTTTATTTTCTCACAATTTTGGTGGCTAGAAGTCCAAGATCAAAGTGTCAGCAAGTTTGGTTTCTTCTGAGACCTCTCTCCTTGGCTCTCAGATGGCCATCTTCTTGCTGTATCCTTACATAGTCATCCCTCTGTCTGTGTCAACTTGTGTCCTAATCTCCTCTCCTTATGGAACACTCTTCATATTGTATTACAGTCCACCCTAACAACCCCATTTTAACTAGTTACCTCTTCAAAGGTTCTACCTCTAAATATAGTCATTTTCTGAGGCACAGGGGTTGTGGCTTCAACATATGAGTTTTTTTTGGGGGGGGGGAGAACACAATTGAGCCCATAACACTAGTATCTTATCCTCTAATGATAACCAAGTCCTCGCTGCTTTCAAATCCAGCCAAAGCAGCTAACCAATCTCATATTCCCATCCTAGAGGGTCTGTTGCCTATACTTACTTCTGATACCAAAGGCTACATCAACCAAGATTCAACTGTACATTAAAGAAAAAATTCTGGGGGTGCCTGGGTGGGTCAGTCGGTTAAGTGTCTGACTTCAGCTCAGGTCATGATCTCGTGGATTGAGGGTTCAAGTCCAGCTGTGCTGGCAGCTCAGAGCCTGGAGCCTGCTAAGGATTCTGTGTCTCCTCTCTCTCTGCCCCTCCCCTGCTCATGCTCTGTCTCTCTCTCTATCTCTCTAAAAAATAAATAAACATTAAAAAAGCAAAGAAAAAATTCTGGCTATTTTAAGGGGAAAATAAGTAACTTAAGATGGGGGAATTGGGAGCTTATGACATCATTGGAAGCACTGAGGTAATAGGCTGGGCAGCCGGTAATGATCCCTAGAATACTACTGCATGGTCAGTTGAACTACTATTGCAGCTAGAATCAGGAAGTTGGATAATCAGAAGTCACTGTGGCAACTGCTGGGCTCCAAGATCATGCCATATTAGCTCCAGAGATGAATAAACAACTACCCTAACTAGTGTGCCTCTAGAGACATTCTAGAGCTGCCAAATCCATGCCAGCAAAATTGGAAACTCAGTTCTAAAATCAAGATACCTGTAAGTGCATCTGACTGGTAGAACCTGAATTATACCAGAAACTAGTTACATGAGGGTATGGGAAGTGGAGGAATGTATTTTTTAACTTTCTTGTTACTGCAGTAGCCAAAGGCCCTCTAGAAAGAGGTTGGAGTGGAAGCAGAACTAATACAGCATATTTACCACACAAAGCTAGTTATCATCCTGACCCCAAAACATGGCAATAACACAGAAAAAGAAAACTACAGACGAATTTTACTTAACACAGATGTAAAAATGTTAAAAGGATCTACCAGTAAAGTGAATCCTCCAGGATAGTAAAAAATAATATACCGTAACCAAGTACACACACACACACACACACGCATGTGCACCAACCTAAAAAGCCTTGAGAGTCTTTTTAAAAAAATTTTTTTAATGTTTATTTTTGAGAGAGAGAGAGCGCGAGTTGGAGAGGGGCAAAGAGAGAATGAGACACAGAATCCAAAGCAGGTTCCCAGCTCTGAGCGCTCAGCAGAACCTGACGCAGGGCTCGAACTCACGAACCTGTGAGATCATGAACTGAGCCGAAGTCGGATGCTTACCCGACTGAGTCACCCAAGTGCCCCGAAAACAGTCTCTTTTTAATTCCAGTTTTCTAAGTTCTCGGCATATAGGAGCAGCTGAATGACTAGACCTATTTTGAATTTATGATGATTCTACTATTACTGAAGTACTTTCTCCTTATAATCTACTGACTTGATTAAATTTTTATGGAAAAAGTAATCTACATAAAACTACGATAATGATATAGTGAAAATTAAAGCATTTGGCATAAACTTATATTCCTTTAGTGAAATAATATGAAAAAATAACAGGAATCAGCAGGCAGAACCAGTGAGATATCACTGGAAAGAGTATTGAGAACTGAGGAAGATACTGCAGATGTAGGAAAAATGCTTTTTGATCTCCAAAGTTTTTGTTTCACTTAGACACTGATGATTAATTTATCTTTGACATGTTACATTTCTGAGACTACCTTAATTAAAAGTGAGCCTAATTGTATAAATTGTGGTAAGCACGGGAGTTTGGCTAGTATATGAGATCTCTGGAGCCCTGCTGCTAATCTGAGTAAATTAAATAGCTCTCCTACTTGTTCTCAAATTCTACTTGTTCCCAAAGTCTGCTTGATGAATCATTTCCTTTGCAAGAAGGACAGCAGGGCTCAAAAGCTCTGCTTCTGCTCATGAATAAGTGCTGATAAATTAAATGGTGGAGAATGGACAATATATAAAAAGCATAAATGTATCCCCAAATAACTGAAAACTGACTCTGTAAATGATTATAGCTTCGAATAGAAAAAACAGGAGGAACATGCAAAATCTGCTACTCAAGGTATAATAAAAGACCATACTGAGGGTGTATCCAAGATCTCTTGTTCCTTGGCTTACCTTACGGTGCGTGGCTTGCTTGTGACAACATCAGGAACTTCATACCTGGGTTTCAGGGGAGTTTCTTCATTGATTTTAAGCCTGAAAATATTTCCCTCTATACCATAAACTTCAGCCAGAAGAGGAACCTTGGAACAGACACGAGATTAGTTTTAACAGGTTATTACACCAGTGATGGCCAGTTCTTGAGTCAAATTACAATAATTAGAAACTACGGTTGAATTATTATAGGCCAAGTAAACTGGAGACAATGGGAATCATGAAGGAAATAGCTCCCCAATCTTTGTATTTACTTGTTTGGCTATACTTGTGGTACAGCAAGAAACACATTATATGTGTTCTTAAAAAAAATTTTTTTTACATTTATTTATTTTTGAGAGACAGAGAGAGAAAGAGCACAAGTGGGGGAGGGGCAGAGAGAGACTGAGACACAGAATCCGAAGCAGGCTCCAGGCTCAGGGCTGTCAGCACAGAGCCCGTCGTGGGACTCGAACTCACGAAACCGTGAGATCATGACCTGAGCTGAAGTTGGATGCTTAACTGACTGAGCCACCCAGGTGCCCTTCATTCTATGTGTTCTATGGCAAGGCAAACCTATAATTGTCCAGACCAGGACCTTTAAAAATGAGAGATCTCTATTAATAATTATACTGAATGATAGGCATGAGCTGAAACTGTTTTTGGAAAACTGGGACATGCGGCCACTTTATCTATGATAAACTGCAGGTGTCTTAGAGTAAGGGTTTGGTATTAAAACTAGGGCAACTGGATTCCAGCTGAATAAAAGATGAAGGATAACCAACCACAGAATGGAAAGGAATAGAGAATAAAATAATGGTCATTGGGGTTCCTTAGGATAGATGCCTGAGGCTTGCTGCTTGATTTTAATCAAGGCACTTCCTGTACACCTGGGAATAGGGCCTGGGGAATTTTCTCTAGAGGTTGGGATGTTCTCAGCTTTCTTAAGAGGCAGGGGAAGTTAAGTAAAATTTTGCCCATAGTGTGACATGGAAGCAACATAGAATTATTTAGACTACAATATTTGAGAAATAAAACACAAAACAACAACGAACCCCAAGAAAATAGAAATGGCCAGATTTAGGTTACAAAATGAAGCATGTAGATCAGAGAAATATGTATTTTTTAATATGAAGTCATCTTTATTATAATTTAGAAGTCCATTAGAAACAGACATTGATCTTTAATAAAAAAAACTTCTAGGATCTCATGGGCTTCTGTTTCCCATTTAGTTATGTAGTTTAAAAATCCAGTTTACTTGAGAATGGTGGAAAAGGCCAAGTAGTATCTTAGTTTTTGTTATGACAAGTTTTCTTCTCATAGGCATTCTGGAGTCTTTGAGAATTTTAATGGACCTGCCCATTTCCAATGCCTTCTGTGATTCCTTAGAAATTTCAATGGGCACCTGTTCTACAGAACATTCTATTATTCTACTGATTCTCAAGGTATGGGTCTAGGGCTATGCCTGAGAATTTGCTTTTCTAACCTATTGTTCCCCTTTGATTTACTCTAAATGGCAGTTTTTAAAATGGGTCAAATTGTGCCCAAGCTTCCAAACCTGCATGCTTATCTTACAAAAATAGCACTTATCATTCACTTTACCAACAGTTCCCACCAAATAAAGTTCCCCAAAGCATAAAGTATCAACTGCCAATGTTAGGTGAAGCCCCTCCTCTTTCCCCAGATCATATTATTTGGAATCCTGAGTGAGAGCAAGCGACTCCAACACAGAGCCACAATCTTTCCCAAAAAGCTTGATCAGAGAAATATTTTGACAGTTTTCAATTGCTGTGCCATGCTGCAGTGGTTGATAGCAAATCCTTCATTAAATCCTTCATGTGATGCCAGATTCTGGTTACAACTGGGTACATGTACTGTTACTGTAACATCTGTTAAATCAAAGGCTAAGGAGGGCAGGCTGTGTGACATAGTGTAGAACAGGGTCAATGTGGTACAAGTAAAATAGGAAGCAGGGAGAACATCACAGCATTAAAATAATGATATTATTGGAACTTTGCCTCTTTGGGAATGTAGAAAAGTAGTCAGGGCACTTACGTAGTGACCCGACACTTAAAAGAGTGACCACGTAAATAGTGCAGTGGCTCTGGCTCCTTTTACAGATAATTCTTAAAGTAGGGTTATAGTAGGGGTGCCTGGGTGGCTCAGTCAGTTGATCGTCTGACTTCAGCTCAGGTCATGATCTCACGGTCCATGAGTCTGAGCCCCATGTTGGGCTCTGTGCTGACAGCTTGGAGCCTGGAGCCTGCTTCGGATTCTATGTCTCCCTCTCTCTCTGCCCCTCCCTGCTCGTGTGCTCTTTGTTGCTCAAAAATGAATGTCATAAAAAATTTTTAAAAATAAAGTAGGATTATAGTAGAGTAGCAGTGTAATTATTTTTTCTAGCTTTATTGAAATAAAATTGACATAATGTACAAATTTAAGGTGTACATCATATTGATTTGATACTTATATATTGCAAAATGATTACCACCATAGCATTAGCTAACAACTGCATCATATCACATAATTACCATTTCCTTTTTGTGATGAGAACATTTAAGATCTACTCTCTGAGCAACATTCAAGTATATAACAGAGTATTATCAGTTATAGTCACTATGCTGTACAATAGAATCCTTAGATCTTACTCATTTTGTTTAGCTGGAAGTTTATACTCTTTGACCAACATTGCCCTTCCCCTGCCTCAATCATACTGTAATTATTCATTGTATGTTTAACATTCTTTTGTAAATTTAATTACTTCAAGTGTGCCATCAGAATTCTAAGATTTAAAAATGTGTCCAAATACAAATAAAGCTGAAATTCTGTTAGATTATGTATTGTCTCCAAAGCGAGACATACATTTCCATTGTTCTCTCAAATTTAACATTTATTTGGCATCTAATATTGTGATGTGCTGTGAAAAAGATGACTAAACTCTTAGAGGAAGACTGCAATTTACAGATAAAACACATAGTAAACATAAAGCATTTTATAGGTGCTGAGATGGAAGGACAAGGACAGTGCTGTGGGAGAACAAGGAGAGAGAATATTAGTGATGACTGTAAGGAAAGAGGTTCTGGGCTGTCTCTGGGGGAGCAGGACCTTCAGAGATTAGCTGGTCTCTGGGTAGGCAGAATGAGCAAGCACATCCTAAGCAGAGGGCACACAGGTTGCCTACATATGATGAACAAATTGCACCTAGTTTATGCACTCAGAGATCTTCCCAGTTACAGTGAAATAACTGTCTTTAAAAACAATTTTTTTTTTAAGCCAAAGACTGGTCTGTATGTTCTGTTCTTGAGGCTGCAGCTCAGAAAGAATCCTAATTTATATGAGGAGGCAGATAATAACCCTGCTTTTATTCTAATGACCTTATACAACCAAACATATGAATCAGAGTCAAAGCTCCATTTTGTTTTCATTTTAGCTCAATTAAGCAAGTGGTTTTTTCCAATAGGTAATCCTTTTCAAGGTATTCAGATTCATTCAAACCTCCTACTATTACCACCATAGCTCTCATGGTCCAAGCATATAATCTCCTTAGACATTAGTATGCTTTGCTTCTATGATCTGGCTCATGCTGTTTTTATTGACTTAAAAAAATTTTTTTAATAGCAGCAGATTTTTAATAGTGCAATAAATAAAGCTACTTGGATTAAAGACAGTGGGGAGACTCAGTGCCCCTGCCTTTGAGCCCCTCCATGAACTGAACTTTGAGACAACTCCATGGAAACCTGGGCTCTGTGGTTGACAGTTTAAAAACCACTTCTCTGGGTTTCTCAATTGCCAGTTATTTTTCAGTTCTCCCACCAAAACCTTGCTGTGTCAAAAAGTGGGGACATGAATGTTATGTTCTTCTATCTAATACATTAAGAATTTGTATACATTCCTCTCTTCTTCTGCTTGGACATTGGTGAAAAAGTAATACACAAATAATTATTGAATCTCTTCTTCCTATTAGGATTGGAAATTACAATGAAAAAGTATGTTAACTTACAGAAGCTAGATTGCTTAAACTAGGAGTGCGTGTTAATACTCAGAATACACTAACAGTTACACTCAAATTGCAGCAAGATGGATTACTGCAAAATAGGTGAAGAAATATATAATTAAGCATTTTAAATAATGAGACAGCATGGATTTTGCTCCTTAAAAGTAGTTAAGATGTGCAAATGTCCACCTACACAGAGAACATGAGATAAATCCTGAGAGAAAGGAGTACATTTAGAGGTTCCTTTTAGCACTACAAGCTTCTATTTGGTTTTTCATAAACCTTTATTCAGAGACTCACTTCTCATAGTCTGGGAAAGAGTACAAATCCTCTTTTCCTATCCTATTTATTCTATGCTTAGTAAAAACAAAACCTGCTAGTCTGTCATCCATAAGTCTAGTTTTATGTAGTTGTTTTTGTTTTGTTTTGTTTGGCCACATGGATAAAAATACCACCAGGTTGTAAAAACTATGGTGCTAGGAATAGCCCTGTCTTTGTACTCAAGTAGTGGACTGATCACAATTATATTAAGACAAAACCTGTTATTTACCCACAACTGGGAATCACAACTAGTAGAGATTGTGACTGAGTTAACAGAACAGCAAAACCTGCTAGTAAAGGAAACTAAACATGTTGCCATAGAACACATATTTAAATGGCAGTGGGTATTAGGAATGGAAATTATGACTCCATCAACTTCTTCTTGATGGATATAGATCTTGCCTCTCCTCTGGTACCAGGTGTCTTCTCTATACTCTAAAGAACAGTTAATCTAAAAGGCCTACGAGAGTGAACAACAACCTATCCCAGTTATTGATCAAGACCTCCCAGAATTCAGGGTACTGGGGTGGCTCAGTTGTTAAGCATCTGACTTCGGCTCAGGTCATGATCTCACGGTTCGTGAGAGCGAGTACCACATCGGGTGAGCTCGAACCCCACTTCAGGTGAGCCCCACTCCTCTCTTTCTCTGAAAAAAAATAAAAATAAAAAAGACCTCCAGCATCCAGAGGATTGTCTAAGAGTTCATTAAAGTGCTGTATGACACTAACTGCTCCTTCCACTGTTGCAGCCAGTTGGTTTATTAATCCCAAATTAGCTGCCTGTTCACGCCCACGTCTGCGGAAACAGTACTGGCTAACAAGTTGTAGTTCTTCCTCATCTGCTGAGGATGTGGCTGGCTGGGTGAAATCCCATTTTCATCCGGCTTAGATGCAAAGGCAAGGGGTAACTTCATGGAGGTGCTCAGAGATATGCCTGCATCCTTGGAGATGCTGCTAGAAGTGTAGTCTCTAGTGAAAACTTGTCAACAGGCTGTAAAGTAAACATGTTGCCAAAAAGTCATCTATGTCATAAGAAAGCATAAAAATTGGCAATATAAAGTAGGTCAAAGGCATAGGTCTATTCCAGGTTAGCCTTGCTAGCAGTGCTTTTTAGCTAGACTTGGAGGACAGAATACATTTCTCTGCTCTGAAGTCACAAGACTAAATCTTCTGTTTCTCAATCTAGGTCAAATTTTCACTGAAGGTAAAAAATCGGTAACAGAAAAAAACAGCTCCAAAAAAGCAGTCAACATTTTACCGTTAACCTTCCTTCAAGATTTTCTTCTGGAAGCCTTTTTATCAAATATCTACCTGATTATTTTGTTCTCAGGAATAGGCAAGATACTATACTGGGGCCCTATGTGAGAGAACTCATGCGTTTTAAACTACAACTGCCTTTTCTTCAAATCCTAGATGTCTTGACCTAGCGGCAACACACAGGGAAACACTTCAGCTTGTTCTGTAATATTACTGTTTCAGGAACATCATGTTTGCTATGAACTGAATTGTGTATTCCTCCATGTTCAATTCATATTTTGAAGCACTAATTCTCAATATGATGGTATGTGGAGATGGGGCCTCTGGGAGATAAACAGGTTTAGATAAGGTCATGAGAGTGGGGTTATGATGGGATTAGTGTCCTTACAAGAAGAAACCAGAGAATTAGCTCTCTCTCTGCTATGTGAAAATACAGTAAGAAGGTGGTAGTCTATAAGCCAGGAAGAGGATGCCCACAGACACCTTGATCTTGGATTTCCCAGACTCTAGAACTCTGGCAAAGAAATATCTGTTGTCTAAGACCCCCAGTTTATGGTATTTTGTTATGGCAGTCCAAGCTAAGAAAATGCTGAATGAAGCTCGGTTCTGTTTTCTGGTTGCTTATTAAGGGGTAGATTGGGGGAAGGAGATTGAGAAGAAGGATTTCAAAAATTAACAGTAGACCTTGACAGCAAAGTTACTGCTTTAAGAGTTTTAAGGGTGTGGGAGCAGGCCAACACTAAGAATCTGCTTCATCAGTGAAATCTGAGAACTGCAGCTGTGAGCTGAATATGATCTCTTAGACTCTGGGCTCTGTTTCTGTGAACTTCAAGTAAAAAGCTATCATTCTGAATAGGTAGATATGTGCAGCTTGTTTTAAATCTCCAGACCACACCCATACCATATCCTAACGTGAAATCTCCCATGAAACGCCCATCTTATCCCAGAAACGACCTCTAAAGCAGGCTGCTTGACTATACAGCAAGCTGGATACAAGGTTCAGACAACTTTGGAGATTACTGTCTGGATCTTCTTTGCCCGTATCAGACTGACAGAGGACACGAAACCTTAAGTCCCTATTCGTCATCTCAACTCCAAGTGACAAGGAAAACATTAAATTGGAATTCAGCCCAGAATTTCAGGGTGACCTCCTAAACATATACATGTATTTGCTTGAGATCAGAGCATGCAGATTCTCTATGCAGCCCCAATATTTCTTTTTAAAAAATGTTTATTTTTGAGATAGTACACGTGGGGGAGGGACACGGAGGGGGGGGTTTAGAGGATCCTAAATGGGCTCTACCATGAGAGAACCTGATGGGGGCTCAAACTTACAAACCGTGAGATCATGACCTGAGCCAAAGTTGGATGCTCAATCGACTGAGCCCCAAAAGCCCAATAGCTGAGCCCCACAGCCCCAATATTTCTAATACCTGAACATGAAGTCTCTTCCAAGGGGGCCACAGAGTTTTCAGTCCTGGGAGCTATGTTGCTGATATCCTGGATAACCTACCCTTGCTTGTTAGGGCTTCTCAACTCCCTTCTGAGCCATGTGCTGTCTGTGTTAAGATCTTGTGGGTCCTCCTGGACTGTGGCTTCTTTTTTTTGGAAGGCATCCAGATCTGGTGGGCTCGGTTCCTGACTTGCCTTTACAAGACCTGGGCTGTACGATGACTCTTCCTTTTTTCCGGAAGAGCTCCAAAGAGGGATGTGTGAAGAGAGCTGATCTATAGTTTTGTAAAAGGCTGCATGTGGGGATCTACCACTAACTGCATTGGTATCAAGATGCATGAACACTTGTATTTTGGTCCACAGGATGCTTCTGCCTCATTTACTTTGTTTCACCATGAATCTTCATGACAGTGGATGTTCAGATGCTCAATACACTGAAGTTCTCCAAGGATGGGAAGAGATTCTTGCCTGACTATGGGATAGCTACAACTCTCTGGGTTTAGATACATTAGAGATAGGAAGATGAGCAAATGACAAAAAAAAAAAAAAAAAAAAAAAAAAAAAAAAAAGAAAGAATGGAAGGTACCTGACATCTGGTGGCAGGCTTAATGACTCCTACAAGGTTTCTAGTGGACTCCTTGCATTTCCCAGAGCCAACTGCTTCTGCTGACCCTGAATACAAAGGTTTGGCTGGGTCTCAGGCTGTTAGACCACATGCAAATGGCAGGTGACTCTTCAGGAAGGAAATCAGTGCTGCCTCATATCTTCTCATGAATGGCTATCAAAGTATGCTAAAAAAAGATAATTAGTAAAGACTTGGATCAGTTTGTAGAGGACTTTGGGGGTACCATGAGCTGAGAACTCAAAGGTATCAGAAATGCCAAGCAAGGGGGCAAATTCCTCCAGAAAAAAAGAGGTAGTATAAAAGCAGCATTAGGGGGGGCACCTGGGTGGCTCAGTCTGTAAAGTGTCCGACTTTGGCTCAGGTCATGATCTCAAGGTTCGTGAGTTCAAGCCCTGCGTTGGGCTCTGTGCTGACAGCTCGGAGGCTGGAGCCTGCTTCGGATTCTGTGTCTACCTCTCTCTCTGCCCCTCCCCCAATCATGCTCTGTCTCTCTCTCTCAAAAATAAACAAACATTAAAAATTAAAAAAAAAAAACATAAAAGCAGCATTAGGTTTCAGAAAAAGGTTAAACCATCCCATTTGTGTAGTTAAGAGAGATGAACTAAGTGTACCGCTATCACAGTAGCTAGAAATTGGAAACAGGAGAGGGACAGAGAACACAGAACTGTTCATACAATTCTAGCCGTTATTTTGAATTCAGGCAAGAAAAGTATGCTAGAAAATTCCACATCTATGAAACAGCTGCATTTCCTAAAACTTCATAAAGAAAGTAGCTGACCTCAACGTGCAATAGATCCTCATTTGCGGGAATAAAGCTGGAATCCTTTGCTAAATTAAAGGCCTAACAAATGTTATAGAGAACCCCCTGATGTTGTGGAGCAAGTTTTTCTTCTGCCTTCTCTGAGGAGGTACCCTTGTGCAGCACCACAGGGCGAGAGCTACGGTCGCCACAGGGAGATATCTCACAGCTTTGCAGTGAAAGGAGAAATTCCTTCTCAGTCATCTGTTAGGGAACTTACACTTCAAGGCTTCAAGTATGTCTTTCAGCTATAAGAATTACCAAGAAGCCAGATTGGTCTGGGAGGCCTTAGAAGCTTCGGATGCCTTTAGAAGACGGGGAGGATCTGGAAGTGTGGGTCAGGCTGGTAGCGCTGTACTTGCGCACAGCCATACTTCCTACCTCAGCCCATACAGGACTTCCTCTATGGCTGGCCCATCTGAAGTAGCGGTATGATTCGACAAGTGAGAAAAAGTACTTAAAATACTGCTCTAATCCTTTCAGTATATAATAGCTAGGGTGATCTGCTAGTGAAGCAGCTCGGGAGATGGAACACTTGTGACTTAGGTTTTCAACTCCACAGTCACTTGTTCCTCTGGTCCACCCACATTTTGAGGTTTGGACAGTCACTCAATCTGTACCTTCCTCAGGCCACACGCTCAACTGTACAGGGTATAACAGTAATAGAACATGGATGCTTAACAGAGTTGATAGACACAGGTGAAAACACTGATTACTAGCTATGTGACTTAGAACAAGTGACTTCCTAGTCACTTTTCTGTATTATGAAGACTAATTAAAAGGAAATAATATTTGTAAAATACCTAGAAAAGCATTTGATACGCAGGCAGTCTGTAAGTAAATATTCACATTACTTTTAAAGTACTCGTGTACATATGAAAAAGATCACATTATTTCTCCAACAAAGTTTATTTTTGAAGCATGCATAGTTTTAATTAGCCCTTGTGGAAATTTACTTCATTCAAACCCCATTTGGTATGGAAACAATTTTCTGTAGAAAATACTTCTTTTTTACCTTAGTTGCTTCATTGAGGATTTGGAACTTGGTGCTGTCTTTGCCTTTTGTGGCGGAGTCTAGTAATGCCTGATAGGTGGACTTTGTGGAGAGCTGCTGTTTCTGACGCCTACAGATACAGAGTATACAAATGCCTGAGAATTATTTGTGACTGTCAGCATTCAGCAAACTATATTACCACGTGGAAGTCATTAAAATTCACTATGATGATAAATGTATCGGGCCCAGACAGTATTAGTACTCTAATAAAGCACTAACAGAATACTTTGTTATTAGAGTGCTAATAAAATACTAATGAAATTGTTCAACATAACACTGCTCTAGGATGGCATTTTGTCCCCTTTATTGAAAAGGTGGGGCAGTTTTCATAGATGATATTTATTAGCTTGTTAAGTCCCCTTCCACTTTCCATGAAATGTATACTTTAAGAGAAACTCAATAAATTCTAGTAGAAATCCGGTATAATCTAGTGATTTAACAAAATGACCAAGAGTTCCCTATAGAATTCCCTCTAAGGCACCTATTCAGAATTTAAGTGATCTGATGTTCTTCCTTTAGGGCAGTCTGGATAAATTAGAAAGTTGTAACATAGGATACAATTTTTGTGAAAGTAAAATGACCAAAAATTGTAGTGAGATACTCAACAAAAATATTTTAAAGAAATATTTTTTCAGGCTCTGGGGAAATAGATCATCTTATACAGTGGTGATGAGAGTACAAAACAGTACAAACCCTATGAGGGGTATCTGGTAATAGTTAAAATTTTAAGTGCATTTATTCTTTGACCCAGTCATCCCATTCCTGGAAATTAATCCTATAAATACTTATGCATGTATAGGAAATGACATATATATAGTTTTTCATTGTGGTAGTCATTTTATGCTGAAAGATTAAAAACAACTCAAAGATCTAGCAATAGGAAGAAGACAATATATTATAGTACGGCTACCCAATGGAATACTATACAGCTATAAAAAGGGAGAACAATCTCTACATACTCAGGATAAACTATTTAGCATAAAAAAAAAGAAGTGCATAACAGCATATATAGGAAGCTACTTGGTATAAGAAGGGCAGTGATATAGGAATAACTGTATTTATGAAAAGAAATAACGGGAGGATAAATAAGAAATTGACAAATCTGGTTATTCAGAGGGACAAGATGTGGAATAGGGTGGCAGGGGACAACCATGGGGGTAACACTCTTCAAAGAATATCTTTTTATATTATTTGACTTTTGAAATATGTAAAAGTACTATCTATTCAAAGCCATAAACACTTTTAAAATATAAATTTATTAAGAAATTTAAATAACATAGTAGTGAGTGTATAAAGGTGAAGGTCTCCTGTCCAATGAATTTCTTAATGACTGTATTTCCTAACTGACTCTTTCCTTAGGAAGCCTATAAACATTACAATATTGCAATGTTTTGATCTAGGTAATATTATTTCCTCTCCTTACCTGTAGAAAGCAATCTTGCTGCAGTCTTTGAAAATGTTTTTATCCACAGCTTCATCTTCAACACTAAATAAAAAGACATTTTAAGAAACTTACTTTCCACAAGGTTTGTGAATCCAGTTTTTGTTCCTTCTGTAACTATAGCATGAACGTGGGTAATGAACTTTTACAATGCAAAATTGTGTCATGGCCATAACCTAACATGATAGCATGTGTGCTGCAGAATAACATCCTTTTGTAAATCACTCAAGGTAAACAACAAAATATCAAGTTCTGGGATTACTCTGAAAGCACTGGAAGAAGAGTATTGTCACTTATGAGGAAGGGTTCTTTTAAAATAATGACTGAAGGCTATGACTACAATAATAAAATAGGAAGGAGCAAAAGCACACAAAAAAAACAACCCACACAAACAAAAATAATCCACTCATTTTTTCAACAAAATATTTGCAGAATATTCTTACTGAGTGCTGGGTTCTGAGGAAGATATGGAGGACTGTGTCAGAGCTTCCTGCAAGAGCCTAACAAACAAGCATGAATCAACCTGACAAATGCTTTATTAGAGGTATGTGCAAGGGGCTAGAGTAAAAACAGAAACAGATGTAGGAGGAAAATCTGTTACTTTCTAAGATAATGTTGACAATCTAAGAGCCAATTTTTAACAAACCAAGTTCGGAGAAGAGCTGTTTCTAGAATAGAACATGAACAAGATGCATATATATTGCTACTTGAGTATATGTATTTAAATTATCCTCCAGAGACACCTGGCTGGCTCATTCAGTGGAGCATGCAACTCTTGATCTTGGGGTTGTGAGTTCGAGTCCCATGTGGGACATAGAGATTACTTAAAATTAAAATCTTGGGGCCGCCCAGGTGGCTTAGTCAGTTGAGCATCCAACTTCGGCCCAGGTCATGATCTTGCTGTTACCAAGTTTGAGCCCCACGTTGGGCTCTGTGCTGACAGCTCAGAGCCTGTAGCCTGCTTCTGGTTCTGTGTCTCCCTTTCTCTTTGCCCCTCCCCCGCTCATGCTCTATCTCTGTGTCTGTCTCTCTCTCAAAAAAAAAAAAGTCTTAAAAAAATAAATTAGCCTCCGTATGATTAAAACAACTCTAAGCTATAAAACGGAAAAAAAACCACACTTGCCTTCAAGCAGACATATTGCTGAATACGGCTGTAATCAGCATGTCCATGATTATGTAGGAAACTATGATTGAACACAAATTTCAAGATATTATGAAAACAAGCCCACACAGATACACTTGGCTGTACTAAAAAGTTGTTTTCTTGGAAGTAATCAAATCTTTCACTAACATAGTCTGTGTCACTGTTTCCTTTAATCAAGCGTGCAAAGATTAGAGAAATTTGCAATCCTTGCTTTTCAGCTTTGAAGAATGAACTCTGTAATAATATAGGAAGATGGGGGTGTAGCCTGAAATTCATGTTAGGGTTCTGATCACAATTCTTCCACTGTTCTGTAAACCATCCTGAAAATATTTTGTGAGGGACTAGCTATTAATATCAACTAATTCCCTGGGGAATTGAGACAACTGGTAAAGATTAAATACACAAATATCCAACATGCAAATAAGAGGCCATTCAAACAATCAATAAAACCTTCAAACCTAATGTTGCTTTCAGGTACTTTCGGGTACTATCTATTCCCTACTGTCTGAAGTCAGTCCCTGCAGGACCAGGGGGCCTTTACCTGATTTCCTCTTTCCCAGCAGCTTCCATGGCTTCCCAGCCCGTCGGACCGGCTCTCAGCTCTTAGGCCAACGCCAAGCGGTGTTTTTAAAACACTGAAGGGCAGTCTTTCTAAATTACAACCAGCACTTCACCACCATCAAGTTCTTGGGAAATGGAGTCCTCCCCAGGTCCTTAAGAAGTGGCAAAACTACACGTACTCCTGGGGTTTCCAGGCCCAAACTAGCGTTTCTACGGAGATTTGACAAAATTTTCTTGTTTATGAGTGCCAACAAGGAAGTGCTTTCATTAGGAACCGCAACTGTCTTTGTAGCGGAGGGGGCGTGTACTCAAAGAGCTCTAGAGGATAAAAATCTAGAGCGTGAGAACCAGGTAGTACAGAGACTGCTTGCCCGGCCCAGGTCAAACGTCTGCAGGTTTATTTCAGTGACCCTCACGCCACAGATACTGAAAACTGGCCCACTCTTTCCGTTTTTAGTTTTAAGTTGAAAGTGCCGGACTGCTCTGTACTGAAGGTGGATGTTCTCCAGACAAATTCTACTGCACCATCATGCTTTTCAGGGCTACAACGATTTTTTTTTAAGGGCTTATCTAGTACAGTAGATACAGCTTAGCAAGTGCTTATACTACACCACTGCCAAATTCCAGTCCTTGCTTAAAAACCTCCAGAAACCAAGAACTCACTACTACCTGCCAAGGAGGCAGTCAGACTTACAGCTTTCCCAGACTTCTGGACCCCGCGTCTCACTTTGACTTAGAAGGTATGAGAGGCGGGGGCGAACGAGAGGAGAGAGCCAAACGCTACACGAGGTGCTTGCTTAAAATCCCCAGCCCCTTTAAGGGGCGGGAGAGAGGAGAAAAGCAGACCTACGCGGAGGTGGCTTTTGATTAACATCCTAACACTCCAAGGTGACCAGATTACGACGGGACGACGCCTGCGCTTTCTGCTCTAAACCTCACACGAGACCGTGACGACTGGCTTAGGGAGGGGCTGCTGGGCGGAAAAACAAACAAGCCCCGCTAGGTTTCGAGGACCCGGATGATCCCGCCCCCAGAGCAGAGCCGGAAGAGGGCGGGGCGAACCGGAAGACGGTGAAATGCTTTCGGTAGGCGCTCCATGGCTGTGAAGATGGCGCCGGCTGCGTGGCTTCAGGTGCTGCCTGTCATTCTTCTTCTTTTGGGGGCTCAGCCGTCCCCATTGTCGCTCCTTGGTGTAGGACCGGCACCTGTCGCTGCTGCTGACCGATCCAAGTGGCACATTCCGATACCGTCGGTGAGTGTTCACTTCAGAAGCAACTGAGCCTGGACGAGCAAGGGGTGGGGCTACGGCGGCCCTAGGGGTCCATGAAGGTTCCGCAAAAGTCCGCTTCAAAAGGGGTGGAATTGCCTGGAGCATCTGTGTCGCTGGATAGCAAGGATCCACTACCCTGGAACGGAAAGCCGTGCACTTCTGTGGGTAGGTTAGCAGGAGTGCCAGAGCCGCTTCAGGAGCGGAGAAGAATGGTGGAATGGTTTCTTATCAGCTAAGTCAGAGAGAACTTTCAGTGCCTTACGTGAGACGTGTAAAGTTGATGGATGATAGGTGGAGAACGGTTTCCCTTTCAGCTGAAGTTTCACAGAATCCAGTGACCCCAGGTTGGATGAGAGAGATCTGTTTATAGGTGTCTTTATCACTTTTTCCCTTTGCACTTTTTGTTACTGGATGATTGTACTTACGAAGTTGTTTGATTTCCTTTGCACTTTCGAATGGTTATTCTAAGCCTTGTGTGATGAGGAAGCCTAGGCATTTAAAAAATATATTCTAAAATGAGAATGGCTGAAGTGGTAGAAATTGTGTTCTAAAATTTGACATGGTAAAGGTAGGCTGTCTTTTGGACAACTTACTAGATAGGTTGACCCTTTCTGTCCCCCACCTCACTCCTTTACACCTCATTGGAAGTAAGAGTTTTTATAGTCCTGTGAGCTCACAAAAATCGGATGCACGCAGGAAATGCCAAAAAGCAATAGTCCTATTGAAACCACGGTGGCCTTTTTGTTTGATTCTGCTTTGCTCACTGGTTGTAATGTCCAAATCTTATTTGTGCTTTTATATGGCAAGCATTATAGCTTTTGTTCGTTTGGTGAAGATCTTCAGGTTCTGAATTTTAGCTATTGTTACTAAAATGGTTAATAGTTAAATCTGTTCATAGAATAGTTTATTTAAGGAAATGATTGGTTATTCTGAACAGTGATTAGTGAGTAAAGCGAATGAACTAATTAAGGAGTACCTCCCATGAAAATTTAAGTTGGGATTTCTAGCAGTTTCTTTTCTAGAGTCCTTGCTTCATGGCCTGTGGGGGAAAAATCATGTCTCTGCACCAAGCTACAAAATTCTGCAGTTTGGATACGGTTGAATTTTACTAAAAGGAAGGATATCGATTTTGTTGTTGTTTAGAAAACTAACTTAAACATTTTATAAATTTAGGTTTTTTTTAACAGTTACATTCTGCCTTGGGAATTAAAGTGATCTATGCTAATTATCTTTCTCTCCTTTATCTTTGCAGGGGAAAAATTATTTTAGTTTTGGAAAGATCCTGTTCAAAAATACCACTATCTTCCTGAAATGTGAGTTTTTGCATTTCATGAAGTTTTTATTTGAGTGATCTTTAAACTTTTAAATTACCTATTTTCTATCTCTGATCTTCTCTAAACATAAGTTTTGAAATTTAATAGTCTGGCATTTTCTAGGCATAAACACGTAGTATAAGTAAGGTCTTTTCCCTGAGTAATCTTCAGAATACTTGTGTGAACTTTATTTTCTTCTCTTGTTTTTCTGGTGTTTACACTTTACAGTTAGACAAATTATGTCTGATGGTATTTTAATCTGCCCTCTGTTAGATACCACCAATTTTGCTTTTGTGTGCTTGTTAGGTATTTACTGAACAAATGACTTAGGCGTCAGACCTTTGACTCTGCACGAATATGTTCAGTGATCCTTTGTTTACAGAAGGAGTATTTTGCTATTTAGATCTTTGGAAGAGGAAGCTCAAAGATATTATCAGGAAGTAGGGATTACAAGGAATTAAACCAGTCTGTCCAGTGAGAAAACCACTGTATCTGAATCCAAAATTTCCCATTGCACATTAAAGAAAAGCTTCCTTTTATTTTTGAAAATGGTTTTATTTTAGGGAATAAATGATCATGGATAGCTCTATTTCAAGATCAGGAATAAAAGTTCAGCTCGGTTCCCCGGGTGGCTTAGTCAGTTGAGCATCTGACTTTGGCTCAGGTCATGATCTCACGGCTCGTGGGTTTGAGCCCCCCGTTGGGCTCTGTGCTGACAGCTCAGAGCCTGGAGTCTGCTTCAGATTCTCTGTCTCCTTCTCTGTCCCTCCCTCTGCTCTGTCTCTCTTTCAAAAATAAATAAATTAAAAAACATTATTTAAAAAAAGTTCAGGTCATCCATATGTGCTTCTATGCACATCTTTCTTTATGAAAGTGCAAAGTTATAAGTTTTAATTGGATGATTTTATTGTTTTAATCATCTAGTGTGTACTTATTAAAAACCTATTATGTGAAGCACTGTTTTAGACAGTAGGAAAATGATAGAAAAGGCCCTCTCTCTTACTGAGCTTACAGTTTAGTGGGAGTGAAGGGGACCTATAGAATTTCTATGAAGAGAAGACTATATCCATGAAAATACAATCTCTTGACTAATGACTTCAGTTTGGTTTAAATTACATTACTCTGACAAACTGGTCAGTCTTAAGAGGTTGGTGTGCTAGATACAAGTAACTCTCAGGGAGAACAGTGTTTTTGGTCTTTTGAGATAGCTTGACAACTTGCATGCTGTTCTACCTTTTTATTATGTGTAGTCTTTTCTTACCTGTATTTTGATCAAATGGTGCTTTGCCAAGTTGCACAAGCTGCATATTTTGTAGTGTCTGCATTTCATATTTTTGGAGAATTTGAAGCCTCTGAAAATCACATTATCTCTCACTTTGTTACTTCTCTGCTTTCTCACATATGCCTTGACTCTGATTTTATACTTTTGGGCGTATGGTAAATAGCTTTCCATGAAATTGCTAGGACCATTTTTGTCTCTTAAATCTAACCATTCAAAGTTCTGAATGGTGTTTTTTAACATAATAGTATTTTTGCAGCCAAGTTTTCCTGCAGATCTTCTTTCAGGGGATTTCCTTATTAGCTTCTGTTTAATCTCTCCTTGGTATGGTTCTTCTGAGTAGTTTATATTGAGATTGCAATATCCTTTTTATCATTTCTGTAAATTCTGTTCAGCACATCAGAGTTTTGTGTATTTTTAAAAATTTTTTTTAATGTTTATTTCTTGTTTATTTATTTATTTTGAGAGAAAGAGCGCTCACGCACACACATATTGGCAAGTCAGGGAGGGGCAGAGAGAGAAGGAGACAGAATCCCAAGCAGGCTCTGCACTGTCAGCACAGAGCCCGACATGGGGCTTGAACCCATGAACCAAGATATCGTGACCTGAGCTGAAATCAAGAGTCAGATGATTAACCAACTGTGCCACCTAGGCATTACAGAGTTTTGTGTATTTTAATTGAACCTTGTAAAAAAAGTGTGTCACTTGAAAATTAATTTGAGAAAATAAAACAAATATTAGGTGCCCGTCTTACGTTAATCAAAATTAGATTCCTAGATGCCGTCATGTTTATCTTTGTCATATGTGCATAAAGCAGGTATCTTAGAGTTCCATAGTGCAGCTGCAATCAAAGATAAGCTGACTTCCAGGTGGGACAGCTGATCAGTCATATAGTCAGATTTATACTCTCAAATCTTCAGACTAATGCATTGGTCCACTAGAATATTGTGTTCCAAACTACGTTTAATGAGTTACGCAGCCACTATGATTTCGTGAAGTTCCTTGAGGCTTCTCTTAAGGTGGGTTTTGGAAAGAGTCTAATGCTCTTACGGTGTTGCTTTTGCTCTTCTGCCTTCCCCAGCCAGGTTTGCTTTTTGTTTGTAGTTCTTTGTCTTGTAGTCTAGTTTGGTATCTTTTAAAGTCTAAGCCATTAATTTTTCCCTCAGTAAAGCTTTGAGTACTGCTTTGTGATGTCCCTAATGTTATTCCTTGTCTTTCCAGCTAGAATGTAGCCTTTTAAGGGTCCTAGTCTCTTCTGGCTTACTGTCAGTTAGCTTTGTATACTTAAGTGCTCTGCTCAGTAAATATTTGAATGATAATAGAAGAGTGGTTTTAACTTGGGACTGCTTTGTCACTTCCAGGTTTTTCCCAGCAGAGAACCAGAAACTGAGGTTTTAAGGCATAAAAAAGTAGATAAACTTAAGCAGGTCAAAAACTGCTCTTTTGTGAATAACAGTACTTACTTTTATCTGAAGAATATCCAGTTATTTTACATAAATTATTTCATTACCTCAAGTTTGGAGAAGGGATGGTCTTTGAGTATCTAAATTTAGCAGGAAAAAATAAGATGTGTGGTAACAGTTTAGGAAAAATGCTTTGTTTGGGACTCATCTTTATTCACAAAGTTTTCTTCTTTTATAGTTGATGGAGAACCTTGTGAGGTATCTTTGAATATAACCTGGTATCTGAAAAGTGCTGATTGTTACAATGAAATCTACAATTTCAAGGTAAGGAATATAAGATTAACAAACTTTTTCTTGGACTTTAGATATCATCAGGTCCTAACCTGATAGAGGGAGGAGTGTCACATAGCTAGGAGGAGGTAGGAGACAAGCTGAAGTTAGAATCTGTGCTTCCCAATTTATAGACTTACTGTACTAGCAATTCACAAACTTTTTGGTCTCAATCCTTAAAAATTACTGCAGAATCTTGCTTACTTTGGCAGCACTGTAGAAGTGCTGACAGTGCTGACTCTATCTTTGGCCCTCCGTCTTGTTCATGTGTGTTCGATTACCTCTCTTGAGGGGCTACGTGTTCCAGACCCCTTGGAGATGAATATACATACCTTAAAAATGTCCACCAAGGCTGGGACAGGGGGAGCCTTGTTTTGGCCTTCCATTAATCTGTTAGAGATAACATAGTCTTTCCCCCTCCTGATGCACAGTTGGTGCCACAAGATCTAATTAATGCTTAGCTTTTAATTAGATGCATGCAAGCCCTTTGGAGGTACATGGGAGCCCTTTGATCTCACTACAGTGTCCTTTTGTGTGTCCCCTCACTGTGTAAAATCTGTGGACTAAGGTCTGGACTTTGTGGAGAATAATTGCAGCTGCCGTGAATCATACTCTGCCCATTTCCCTCCCCCTGTCAGTAAGTTACCCCGAATAAAACTCTGCATAAACTGTAGAGAGTCGCCTGCTTTGTTTTCTGGTCTTAAAATACTTTCTCAATTTGGGGGGTACTTTACTGTCCCTCCCCCACCTTCTAACAAGCACATATACTAAAATTGGAACAACACAGAGAACATTAGCACAGCCCCTGCACAAGGATGACACGCAAATTTGTGAAGTGTTGAATATTTAAAAAAACCATTACTGCAGTCTCCAAAAAACCTTTGTTCATGTGGGTTACCGTATTAGAAATTAAAACACAAAATACAAAAAATGTTTGTTAATTTATTTTAAAATAGCAATAATAAACCATTGCATGTTAACATGAAAAACGTTTTTATATGTTAAAAATAAAACAATAAATAAAAATGTCTTTTTCAGAAACGTAGAAGAGTGGTATTACTTTGTATTTTTGCAGCGCCTTTCATTTAATGTTGGATAATTGAAGACAGCTGGATTCTTATATCTTCTTCAGTTTATTGTGCTATATTATTTTGGTTGAAATGTGGCCTCACACAGATACATAGTTGGAAAAGAGAATGATATCTTAATAGTGTTTTCAGATAATTGTAGATACTGTTTTTTGATCCTGTACCAAAACATAACAAGTAGAGAGAGTTTCTTAAAGGTTGGTGGCAATGTGGAATCTGAAACCATATCAGTGGGTTCTTTTTCTACTAAGTGAGTTGGTGTGTCATGCACTGTGGTCTTTTATCCATGTCTGATTTTGTAACAGGGTTTATTTAGAAAATACTTGTTGACTGATTTTTATCATTCTTTCAAATACTACCTCATTTTACAATTAACTTGAAGTTATATTTGTTAGCATCACCCTCTGTCACATCAGAAACTCCTTAAGTACTGGAGGCTGTTGAGCTCATGGTGAGGAAGATACAAGTTTTCCGAAGTCCAGTTTTGGCTTGGAAGTTCAAATTTTGTCATTGGCAATAATACTGTCAGGTGTTGTCCTTGAAGTGACAGCCTTCCTTTGCCCATTTTCAAGAAAATATTTCCCAAATAACCAAGTGTGAATAACTAGTTTGTTATTCTTTTAGGTAAATGAAAAAAGTGGATAGCTTAGGTTGTAAGTCAAAATAGTTGTAAAGTGTTTTATCTCAAGACAGTCATTGATAGTATTTTGCATGTTTTCCGTTTTGTCTCATAGAATATTTAAAAAGGCATGTGCTCACAGTCCAGATTTAATAATATTAATAATTTTTGCTGCTTTAGTGAAGCATTCTTATGTAAAACTGGTATTTAAAATTATTTTTTAAGCTGTAAGTTTGTGACTGACTACAATGATGACTGGTATAATTAGGTGCCACTGCCTTGGTTCCTGATAAGGGGCAGCCATTTTATCCATCATTACTTTGCATTATCAGTACAAGGCAAATAACATTATCATTTTATTAGTAGTAGTATGGAAATAGTTTTAGACCTCATTTCACAATTGACATAGTACACTGTACTTGGGCACTGAAGATATATGGCTCCAGGGTGGATTTTTCAGGCCTTTTTCATTCCGTTTCTGTTCTCCATTTGTTATTCTCTTCCTTTCTGAAGATAATCTAACTGGTCTTTTAAAAAATGTCTGCCATTCACTTGGTTTTTCAAACCTTAAGCATTTTGAATTTCTGCCTTGTGTTAGGGTTTTACATTATCTTTTTTGTGGTGTTGATTTGTTTTTTGCTTGTTATACAATGTTGGGTATGACTGCTAATGATGAGGACTAAAAGGATGGAAGAACTTAGAAATGATAATATGTCCAGAATGTAGTTTGAAGCATTATTGATGTTTCTCTTAATCAATCACTAGTTGAATTTACAGTTAAAAACTTCATACATTTGAAACTTGCGATAAGCTGGTCAAGAGCTTAGCAGATCCCCGGATAGGTAATACAAGTTAAGAATGTCAAAATTATCTTGGGTTGCCATAGGACAGAATTACAGAAATGACAAGCAGATAGTTGGAGATGCAAAACTGGAGCTTAGAAAAAAAGGGAGAATTCTGTACGTTAGAGTCCAATACCGTTAGATTCTTGGACATTATTACAGTGTTTATTTGATGTTGTAAGTTTTTAAAATAGCAAATCCAAAACTGTACCTGCCCTATAGGAAATCTATCTTTTATCTTCTAAATACTTTACTTGTGAAAAGTAAGTTGTGTGTGTTGTATTTTCTCTTGTTTTTCCAGGCAGAAGAAGTGGAGACATATTTGGAAAACCTTAAGGAAAAAAAAGGCTTGTCTGGGAAATACCAGACATCATCAAAATTGTTCCAGAACTGCAGTGAGCTCTTTAAAACACAGGTAATGTTTGATAGTGGTTGGAGGGAAATAGAAGAGATAAACTACATAATACCTCTATATTTGGTGATCTCCATTTCCCACTTCTGAATTCTTTGTTCTGACAGAAATAAGTTAGAAGCATGTTCTGTTAATTGCACATTCAGCCACTTAATATTTATCTCATCAAAAAGAGGATGTGCTTTCCTTTGTGTGTAAAAAGCAAATCCCCATTTTTTATTATGGTAAAATATAAGTAAAATTTACCATTTTACCTATTTTCAAGTGTGCCGTTCAAGGGTATGAAATTTGCACTGTTGTGCAATGCAAGTTCTGCCCTTGATCTTAGCCAAAAGGCCGAGAAGCGATGCAATGCAAGTTCTGGAGATGGCTAGTGGTATACTAGTCATCTCTAGAACTTTCTCATCATCCCAAACTCATACATCATAATCATTAAACAATAACACCCCCTCCCCTCACATCGCTGGTAACAACTACTCTGCTTTTTCTCCATGAGTTTCACTATTCTAGATACTTCACAGAAGTGGAATCATATAATATTTGTCTTCTTTCCCTTAGCAGGATGTTTTCAAACTTCCTCCATATAGCATGTATCCACTTAATTTCTTTTTAAGGCTGAATAATAGTTCATTGTACATGTATACCACATTTTCTTTATCCATTCATCCACTGGTAGACATTTGAAACTTCCAGTTTTTCAGTTCTTTTGAGATCTCATTTAATTGATACATTCCCAGAAATACCAGTTTTCTAGATTTTATTGTTACAGGCCTAAACTCAACCTTTTTTTGAGTAAAGGGGAAGAGGTGAATAATATGTATTTTTAATGCTTACATATATGTAATCATGTAAGCGGAATTGTGATTCTAAAATCTTTTCTTAGAAATAGAATATGATGTCAGTTTTTTGATAGAAAAATTACATGTTTTATAGGTGTCGAAAATAGTTATTATTAACTGTAGCCTTTTCTTTGTTCTTATTGCATTTGAATACCGCTTCAGAATATTTAGCAAATTGCCTTGAAGAGGCAAAGCATTCACAGAACGCTAAGTTTTCTGTCCAGTTATTAGAAATAAAGTTTGTTGATGAGACTTTAATAACTAGTAATTGATAAGCAAATAAAATAAAATTGATAATTGAACTATAACAGTTGATAATTGAGTTCTTGTCATAGCTTAGATTTTATGGATTTGGAGGAGAAAGAAGATATCTTTAAAATGATAGAATAAGAAAGCTGGAAAAAATGTGATGTTAGTTAGGGGGCTTTCATTTAGTTTTTATAAGTTTATCCCCTAGCTTGGGAGGATTGGTTGGCCTTTCTTAGATTTGATCATGGAAAGCTACCTGCTGTATACTGTTGCCCTAGGTTCACTGCTTTTAGATCTGCTATAATCTTTCCAGGGTCTTAGCATATTATCCCTATTGGTAAGGTTATCTCTCCTTCTTCAGTCAAATGTAACAGAGTTGGAATACATGCTCTAATTACTCAGGAAGGAGAATGCTTCATCTGCTGATACCTGGTAAGAAAACATTAGTGTGGTTTTGTATAGGCATGGAGAGTGTT